ATATTAATTTATGGTACAACATTGACACCGGAGAAAAGATTTCTAACCAAAATTTCAAAAGTTCTAAAAAGGATTAAAAAATATTTTTACATGAAAAAATTCTTTGATTTTTTTTCTCCCAATAAGAAAGATTTTGATGATAAACGGTTTTTATTAAGTTTTGGCCGTTGTGTTTTTTTTTTTTTTTTTATCATGCATATTCATTTTTTGGTTTTTAGCATATATATGTTATTTTTTCCATAGAGAATGTTAATGGAGTGATATATCAACTCCTATTATCAATCCTAAGTATCCTTGAAATATTATGCCTAAAACTCTTTACAATTACTTTTTGTTTGGAAGAGAGGAGAGAAAAATTATGCAGACATTTTCTGAATAAAACTACAACATTTGGCTTGTAAAATGAGGGTGAAATATAGAATAGCCCTTATAAGAAAGAGAAGCAAAACAGATTGTGTGCTAACATGAAAGATACAGGCATATCTTGGTTTGTTGAGCTTTGCAGATGATGCATTTTCTTTTTCCATTTTTAACAAATAGAAAGTTACATGGCAATCCTGTATGTGTCTGTGTCACATTTGGTAATTACAGCATTATTTAAAACTAAAAGGCTAATGCTGATTCATGTTTAATAGATGGCAGTAATCTGTAAACATGACTTTTTGCATGTACTGGAAAATAAAATTTCTGTGATTTAATGTAGTGAACTGGAACTGAACTTGGAGTATCAACAAAGTAGAACTATACAGATTCTGAGGCACAAAATAGGTATACATAATCAAATGGATCAATGGAAAAGCAAACTAGAAAATTAATAAAAAGAATATTTCAGTTGTATTTCATATGAGCATAATGACTGAAATGCCATATTAAAAATTATGATATATATATATATGTACACAGAAGAAAATCTAATTGCCTGAACTGCACATAAACAACTGAAAGATGAAAATTCATGGGACAAGGGAAGTAACTATGTTCATTTATCATTCACGTAACAATAATTAACAACAGTAAAAGAAATGTTTAGACATTCTCAACTTAATTTTATTCTTGCTAAGTTCTCTATAACACTTTATACTATATTTACTACAGAAAAAAGAAATTTAAGGGATTTCTTAAAAAAACTTTTAACCGACATGGATTTTTAAGGTGTTTTCTTAATTTATCATATATTGCCCTGTAACTTACGTTGAGCTCTCATTGGATTAATGTCCTCCTTCAAATTTTCCCTACCAATTACAAATTGGTACTGTGTGTGTGTGTATATATATATATATATATATATATATATATATATATATATATATATATATATATATATATATATACACACACACACAAGATGTTTATAGAATAAATTTATAGCAAAAAAAAATTTGAGTAGACAAAATTCAAATATCTTTCGAGAACAAAACTGCTTTATCAGAAAATACTGCTTTATTTACCAGAAATATCAATTTTATCTTTATTGAAAATAAAATCATTACCTAAGTTTATAATTTATAATTTTTAGTTTTGAAAAATTAATGACTACATAAAGTTGGAATCACAATTTCACAATCCATGTTTACATACATTTTCTACTAAAAATAGTTAACTATGTGACGTTTCTGAATTTCATTTTTGTTAAACCATATTCAAGAAAGGATGAAGATCAAACTATTGAGCAGAAACTAATCAGTAGCATTCTTATTTAAAAATATTCTCGAGGTATATTCATGTTACTAGGATCCTCTGTGAATTCAACCTCCAGAGAGAGAGAGAGAGAGAGAGAGAGAGAGAGAGACAGGTAGCGTGAAAGGACAGGAGATATATATATATATATATATATATATATATGATGAGCTGTGAAACAGCGAAACAGTCTGTCTGTGGATGACGTTATATTGAAAATTACTTTCAGTTGAGCTCTCTGGGGAGGAGGTGTGGGTTGGCAAACATTGACTATTATAGCTATATAGCGAGACTCTTCATAAAAAATAATTGAGTCAGTCGGTCACTGGGCGTGTTTCTAAAATAAATATGCTAAAATCCACCTTCATTCCTACCGTGCGCCAACGGCTCAATGGTTAGAATCTCCGAAACAGTCTGTCTGTGGATGTTTATATATATATATATATATATATATATATATATATATATATATATATATATAGAGAGAGAGAGAGAGAGAGAGAAATGTAGTTGTGCAAAACTAGAGCCTCTGACAAGTCTTCTACTGTCAATGAAGAAAAGTATGCTTCTATATAGACCTCATAAAATACCTGAAAAGCCAGCAACAGATATAGAAAGTCTTTCCAAATCTTTGTTCCTGAAGCCAAGTTAGATGACATGTTCAACTTCAAATTGTAATTGAATATGTAATTTATTTTTGGATATGTCAGATTAAAAAAAAATATGGCTACTTTCAAATGTAACTGTAAAAATAATTGTTTGAACCTGATTAACAATCATTAAGATAAAAATACAGAAGAAAACAATATAAAAATAAAACTGAACAAAACATAAAAAAACAGATACATCGGAGGCCTAAGAGAATGGAGTACATTCAGAGGTAATCTTTTATGAATAACCTCCCTTAAATTGTTTTCCATTGTGATAATATTTTCATAAAGAAAGATAAAGAAAAAATGTTCAAAATAAATCTTTCCTTTGGTTTTTTTAATAGCCTTTAACCCCTTTTGAGACTGAATATATTTCTAAATTTTGCCAGTTTTAAGGTAGCTGAAATTTAAATATGTGAGTTACCTATGAATGTTAATGCCATATATATATATATATATATATATATATATCTTTTGCTGAATTATGCACAAACAATATGATAGTCGCATTTTTAAACCTGAATATCTGATTTTGGTCATTTTCATGGAAACTAAAATTCACAAAAGATTGATTGTAATAAATTTTAACAAATATGTCTCAGAATATTGTAATAGTAACTCTAAAAAACAATAGTATGCAAAAAATGTCATTGTCAGCCAAATGATGACTTTTCATCCAGTGAAATGTCTTGGCAAAATTCAATCAGTCAATTTCCACAGACATTTCAAGACATTCCACAGCTAAATCTAGTAAGCTGCACATTTTCTGGAAGCAAAAGATAATGGCTGACAATATTTTTAGCAATAATTCATAGCAATAAAAAGTAAAAGTTTAAGTAAATTTAAAACATCTTGAAGTCTAATGTCCTTAAGTGAAGGTCTGATGTCTGTCTGATTGTCACAATATTAAAATTTGATCATCTACTGATAAATAAATTGTTAATTTCAATGAATGTCTCCATTGCATAGAAGCCACTAGTTTGCTTGGGCAGATATCCCTATACAACCAATTGGTACTATAAATGAGGTTGTAAACAAGTGTTTGGTTGGCCAGATTTGGCCAGTCAATCTGAGCAGTGTTAATCAAAGGAAAATTTTTTTTAAAACCAATATTGTTCATACTTAATAGTTGAGATAGTTGTAGATTTCTCACCAAAATGAATGAGAAATCTGCAACTACCTCAAGTATTTTGAGGAAATATCAACAGGTTAGTCTGGCAAGATATCCTCTCTTGAAAGACTGGTGCAACACAATCTTCCCACTCTGATATATATGGTCCAGTGTTAGATGAATGTGAGCAAATTCAATATCAATGTTATTGAGAACAAAATGATGCTGACTTTTGTTTTGCATAGATAGGAAAAACTTGAGAATTATTTTGACATTTGCTTTCATGATTATGGTAGTGTATGAAAACACCAAGTGTGAAATGGAGAGCTGGAGTCAAGATATCTCTTCCTCACTCTAGTTTGAGATTATATTTATGAGCCATAATTAGAGGGTGGAGATGGGAAACTGATTTGATATTTTATATGAAGTTGGATTATCTATGAATCCAAATACCTTGGGTCCTTTCCAAACATAAAATGCTATCACTGAAAGGCAGGGGGAAGTTTCTTTTATTTTTTATTGATTTATTTATTTATTTTTTTAATCAAATTCACAATACAAAAATGGTTTGGTGTTTACAGAAACACAGCAAAATAAATTTTTATTCCAAGTGTTGAGTGATCAATTTTTTTTTTTTAAATTACAAACTTACATGGGAAAAAAACTGAAAGTGTTAGATTAAATGAAAGAACCAATTTATCATTTATCATTTGAATTGACAGATTAATTATAAGAGCAACAGATATTTGTTGCTCCTGCTTGTACAGATATGATAATTATGAGAGAAGGTTTTATGAAAATGTTCAAGAAACAACATTTTGTCAAGATATGTAACAAGAGGACAGTTTGGCAAGAAATAGATTCATGCCTTTTCTATACAATTTCATTTTTTGTGGTGATAAATTATGCCACTCCAGATATGCTCATGAGTATAAATACCACTCAGAGATTTTACAGAAAAGGTAAAAAACTCCTGCTTTACAACTCAAAGTTAGCTTAAGGTGCTCTGATTAAAGGATCATAAGAGAAATCAACTGAATGAATCTACAAAAATAAATAAGAGGAAACCAAAAGTTACTGTATTTTTGATATATCAATAATATCTAAACTTTTTATATATTCAAAGTTGTCAACAATACAGTTCAACTTAGAGAATTATTTACATTGCTAAAATGCTGGATTCATTAAAACAATTCTGTATTTTGCTGATGGACTCAAAATATTTTGAATGCAAAAATATCAGCAGATCTACTTTTATTATACCCCAAATCATCCAACCTATAAGTTGACTATATCACAAGAATGTATTGATTTTATGCCAAAATTAAAAAGTTAATAGTATGATGAATATAATGGGAACTAAGATATTGAAGATACTGTCTGACATACAAAATTGTTAAAAGTGTTATTACAATCTCTAGAAGTGATAAAATGATGTTAGATTATATTTAAAAATTCTTAATGCTGTAAAACATCAATTCTCATTTTTTTTTTTAAAGTACATCATTAATCTTCATTAAGAATTGAAATTCATACAGGGCCAATGTTTTTTTTTTCTTCATTCAGATGTCTTGTGAGACTGCATGAAGAGTGAATGTCACACAATGAAGTTCAAGCCTGCCTCGAGCATGAATAAAATAATGTGAAAACATTACGTTTTTGTCTTTTCTGGTTTTAATCATTATTAAGAAAAGGAGGAAAAATTCATTTACCTTGTGCCGATACAATGTGCTGAAATGGTTATTTCGGAAAAAAACACAGAGTTCCCCTTCTTTCACTGTGGTACTTAACTCACAAAGGCCATGATAGGTTAACTGTGAAGCTGTCTTTTCAAGAAAATTTTCTGCTATTGTTGCTGCAAAGAAGAGACTCACTTTTACTAATCAGCAAAGTATAAAAAAAATGAAAAAGTTTCTTTAAAAAATGTAATATAAACAAAATACAGCCTAATATTTTCAGCTCATAAGAAAGTACCAACATAAGTAAATGTCATAGAACAATACAAACTTGTATCACTTGCTTTGAGAACTTGCTGTATTATGTATCAACAGTTACAATATTTTTTTTCTTTTTACTCCTGTTTATCTTATTTCTTGTTTCTCATTGCAACTCTAAAATTCACCATTCATTGCATATTTACATCTTACACTATTAAACTAGCATTCAAATTTCTTAAATAAAACACTGTCCCTGATTAAGTTTTTAACTTTTACCTTTTTTATGTAATTAGCATTTATTAATTTTTCTTATTACTTTGCAGTGCTTTGTTATCTGCCTCATCTTTGTTCATAATTTTTGTAATACAAAGGCTGCAAATGCAATAAAATAAAAAATGTTTGAGAGATAAAAAGCATGTTAATATGTATCCAGCTTAAGTGATTAAATTGGTTCAACTGCTAGTATTTTAATGTTAGAAATTGAGATTGAAATAAACTATATTGTGCATTTAAATATTTGTCAACAGAATTCAGTTTACAAGAGCATATAACAGTTATATTGCATCTTATTCCTTTTGGTTAAATGTTAATCTTGATTTGTCATAAAATCTGTTTAAGCTATATTTATTTAGTGAATTTACAGCAAAATGTACTAAGAAATAATTAAGGACAACACCAATATCAATTTTATTCCTGATTAACCAAACACATTATTTGTTTCATCTTCATTTTATTGTCATTAAGTGATATATTTTATATATATATATATATATATATATATATATATATATATATATATATATATATATATAAATAAAACAGATGTAGGCACTACATGCACATACTTGGACCAAGCAACAAGCTTGAAGCATGTTTTAGAGTGAGGATAAAAAGAATCTACTATGAAATGCAGGTAAAAGTTTGTATTTTTGTTACTTATTTTAAGGCTATGGAGATAACCAGGAAAAAAAACAAATGATAAACTTACCTTCTGTAAATAATTTAATGTCTTCTGAGGTTTTCTGGACAATGATCTTTTCTACTAATTGATTGTAGCTGCACATCCCAATGGCAGACACAATATCATGAGACTGAGGGTCTACTAGCCAACCATGATACAAAGAAATACCCAGCAAATCAAATATGATACATTCAGTGGTGTATTCAAAATGTTGCACCCTAGATTAAAGTAAAATAATATTTAGAAATTTAGTTCATGGAATAAATTACATCAGTATTTTTAAATGTGCAATCATTAAGGTTCAGTGTCTTAATAAACTTAGTAAACAATAATAAATTAAAAGGATAAGTTACACTTTTTACATCTTGGGGGGGAGACAAAAACAAAACAAAGAACAAAACACAAAAAATTCTCACATTTGATAGTTTTTAGAACATAATAAGGTGCATTACCAATATTTTGTCTGCTTATCATGACTTATAGAAAATAAGTAATATTCTTTGAAACAAGTGAAAAAGAATGTTTTATTAATATGAAGTTATCTTGAAAACAATAACTCAGAAACCTTTCTCAATCCTCCAAACAATGCATGACTCAATTTTATTATCAAAATGCATTCAGTTTTTTAAACTCTGAATTACATACAATTTATAATCAAACCGGGTTGATATTGTAAATATAGCTTTCTACTTCTCAGCTTGTCAATTTCAAAAACCGATGTATCGGTATATGCCATCCCTTTCAAAATTTATATGAATATGGCTCCTCATAATTTCCTTTCTTTTATTTCTTTAATTCTTGCTCTTTTATAACCACTCTGTTTTTTCGTACTTATTCTTCTCTCCATTAAACTTTTCAAGTAGTTACTAGCTTCACTTTTGCTTCTCTTGACTTCACTGTGTCTTGTTAAACTCTCCAAGCCTTCATTCATGTTTTCTTCAAATTTCAGTTGTCTGTTTCTGATGGTGAACAGCAATTCCTTTGTAGTCCCTATTTTCCTTAAATCTTATTCTTAACCTACATATTCTCAACATTTGTTAGTAGGACCACATGTCTTGTTTCAAGTCATCTGTGATGAAAAAGTTCAGCATTCACTTCCATACAGAACATTAGACATTACAAAGCAGTCCAACACTTTGTTTCTCAGGATATTTTCCTCTCTTAATACTTTGCTCAGTTTTGAAAAGCATCTTTTGCTATTCCAATAATAAATCCTGGTGGTAGGTTTTTCTTTTAAAATGATCTCATTATACAGGTTAATTAAATCTGGCAAGAAAACACATCTTTAACATTTCTCTATTTAGTTTGGTATATTCATTAAACTTATTCTCTATCAACAATCAATCTGTGTGTGCCCAGTCTATGTTAAAGATTATTTGATTGTCTTGGATCTAGGTCAAACTTAAAAAACTTTAGTGAATGTGGACACAAAGTACTCATTAAAACATTAACATTTCAAAGAATTCTAATTGTAATCAGTGATAAAAGTTACTTCTGAATTTCATACATTTATTGTCAAATCCAAATATGTGTCCTAATACACATGTGTGTCCATTAGAATTTAGTTACTAGATATTTGTAAATGTTTCAGATATTTACTGAATATTCATAAAAAATGACAGAAATATAAAATGAAAAATATTAACTACTTAAATTAACAAAAAGAACCAAAACAGAAATAACTGATTTTTTTTAAATCAATACTTTCACTTTTAGACAAAATTTAGTTTGAAAAATGTGACTAATTATTCAAAGGGGTAGAGCACACAAATACTTTGGGATAAGTCAATTCTAATTTTCTTAATTTGACAGTCTTTATAAATATATGTCATTAGATGTAGCAATATTATTCATAAGTTTGGTCTTTCTAAGCTCTTTAGTTAAAAAAAAAAACAATAAAATTAATGAATCATTTCAAAAAGCAAGTTGCTTTTGATGTATGCACACACAATCTATATCATTGTGCAATCAAATATTGTAGAAAACTACATATTAAAACAGTATCATGAAATATATTGAAAACTAAAATATAAAACAACAATTGTGATTTTCTGAATTTATTTTTAATTGAACTCTTATAAGAGAGAAAAACTAGGTTTAAACAGAACAAGTAAAGCAAATATAAAAACAGAGTAAAAGATCTTTGAAAAGCAGTGGAGAAAACAATAATTCTAAAGGAAGAAAAAGAGAAACAGTAAATGAAAAGGCAGAAACTAAAGTTTAATTTTTGAATATTAAGAGTTAAATAAAGCTAACAATATATAGAATGTTTATCATATTTATCTTATAGAACTCAAGAAAAAAAGAAATTGCCTTATGTTTCTGGCCTTCATTGTGTACATTGATTTCCCATTAAATAGGCAAAACTACTTGCTTTAATTAAAGAATTTTACGTATCTTAATCTGAGGCATGCAGATTATTGAACACTAAGACTGCACTATTTTCTTTTTAGGGTTATGTTTTTTGGTGTAAAATAGTTTGTCTAATAACATGTAATCTTGCAAAATATTGATTTAAAGTTGATTAGGATGACAAGTTTTATACATACAATTGATATATTGAACTAAAATTATTTTACAATATTTTATAGTAAAATAAATTCACATAAATACAAACCACTCGTCTTAGTCTGTTCCAAATTTGTCTTCAACCACATTAGGTTTTAGATCAATCACATTTGATTATGTATCATCTTGCACATTGAACAACTGAAAGGTTCTACTAGAAAATTCCCTCAGTTATTTTTTTTTTGGTCCATGCATATCTTTGTTCTCAAAGATTCACTAGAAGTTTTAATCAGTTGGTCTATACTCTTGGAAGATGTCTATCATACAGAATTCTGTCCTTGAATAGATTTTCTTAAAATATCTTACAAGCAATTTTTCTTACAATGTCTTCTTGTCTGTGTATCTACCTAATCTGCACCTGGGTTTATTCCCATTATCTAATTCTCTAAGTAGTAAGACATATTTACCCTGTGAATCGTACATTAACATCCAATCCAGTTTGCAATTTGTGGATCACAGCCATGCCATCTTGCATGTTCTGCTGGTAATTTAGCTGGACATCTTCTGAGGCAGTCTGGAAAGAGAAATTGCACAAAACAAAAACATTTAAAATATACAAAGAATGGTGATGGGATAAGAAAAAAAATGCCCAAAATTTTATTTTTTTTTATTACAAAATATTCAAATGTGACATTTTTCAAGCTTACTTTTTTTTAAAAACTATTTTATTTTTAAGTAAATCATAGTTAACAAAAAATATATGTATATGTGGCAAGAGATGACATTCAGTTAAACTTGAGAATGACTTAAGAACTTTTAACAATAGAAATTGCTGCATTGGTTCATTTAGAGAGAAAAAGAGGCAGGAGATAAAATTTACAAGGAAAGATCCAAAAATCCAAAGGGTATAATAGTATAATTTATATTTTTTTCTGAAAGATATTAAAAAAAAAAATAAATAAATAAATAAAATCCTAAATTTTCCATAAAAAGGAAAAACATTTTTTCATTTTATGGTATTGAATAGATAACTAATTGCATTTTATTAATAAAATAAAAAGAAATACATGAATATAGCAATGCTTTGTTTAAAAAAATCCATGTCTAATTTGATCATTTTTTGTTAAATCTTCCTAAATAAATGATTTTTTTTTGTTTTAAAAAACAGAATTCTTTGCCAACAAGCATTCATTTGCATATGATTTTTAAAACAGACTTTTGGAACACAGAAAGATATACTACTATCAGTAGTCAGCATTTTAACTTCATTTCTAAAATAATTTTGTCTAACATTGGATTATTTTAATGTATTTGGTAATGATTTGTATAAAGTCATTGAGTCTATCAGTCATGCAGTAAAATTCATTAAATACAATTTTTGTATTTTTCCAATAAAAAAGTAAAATCTTTACTTGCTTTTACTTCAAGGGAAGGGGGAAAGCACAATAAAATAATGTATATGATATGAAAAAGATATCTTTATAGAATTTTTATCAAGGAGGTAAGAATATTAACATAAAATGCAATAAGAATCCTGATATTTTCTATGTTGATGTTAGCACAAGACTAATATTTGAAACTTTTTTTTTAAGATTTGAATTCCATAGTGATACTGAGAAGAAATACAGAAATATACACTTTATAAAAAATTAAAAATGTTGTTTAAGGAAGAAAACAAATAAAAAATGAAATTTTTATCAAGAGGTAGCACACCATCTTATACTTCAAATATATTCCGCTTAAAGTAAAAATTCCAGCAAAATAAATATCAAATGTAAATAAATAGATGACAAAAATAATTAACTTTTAGTTCAGATTTTAGCTGAATTTAGGTTTGCTTGAGAGAGAACATAAATGCATATACACATAAAAAACTGGTTGTGAGTAACAAAAAAGTATAATAAAAAAAAAAAAATTGTTGTGGCAGGGTTATAAAAGAAATAGAATTTTTACTTTTATCAAATCTTCCTTTGTTTTAGCAAAAAATAACTGTTGGGTTGCTTAAACAAAAGCAATACTAATTAGGTAAGGGGAAAAATCAACTGACAGCTGATTTCTAAAATGACCTTAAATTTGTTATTAACTGGAATAAGAAATGTCTTATTAATTTTAACACCACTATATCTTGTAGAATCCCTTGTATTTTTATAAGTTTACCATTTGTCCATGCATTGAATATTACTGCAAAATCTGGTTTGGGCCTCTGCTATGTATCTAGAGATTCTTAACAGAATCCAAGACAAATTTGCAATAACAACAGTCCTGACCTGGCATATTGGCGTCAATCACTTTCCCACTGTCATACATAGCTACTATGTGCCTTTTCTATAAATAGTTTCATGGTAATTGTTCTGATGAGCATTCCATTCTGGCACCTCAACTTTTTGAATTCAAAACTAGTACGAGATTGGCAGCTAAGTCTCATCATTTTACTATTGAAATTGCTATAGATGTAATCATAAATAATACTATGCTAATAATTTCTTATCTCGCACTTCTTGTGGAAGTTTCATCTGGCTTCTTGGTTTCCTGTCAACTATGATCTTCAAAAATTTAAATACAATGTCAATCATGTCACTCCTTGTTTGGAGTGAAATAATTTATGAAACTCATAAATGACAAAGTATTAAAATCGCAATTTGGTAATAAATATCTGAAGGTTCCCAAATAAAAAAAATAAAAAAATAAAAAAAACTTTCTTCAATTAGACAAATAAAAATTACTAACCTTTAATAAGAAAAAAAAAAAAAAAAAAAAAGAAAGAAAGAAAGGTGTTTGCCAGGAAAAAAAGTCAACAGGTTTATTTTCCACCTTAATGTTACTCAAGTTACTCTTATTGTTGCTCAGGTCATTTCCCCTTCTATGATCATTAAAAAAAAGTAGCATGTATCAGAAATAAAACAGTTTCTGACAATATTTAAATTCAAAATTAAAGATGATCTGGTCAAAAATGAATAATGAAAATATTTAGCTAAGAAATTCAGGTAAAACAAAACGTAGACTAGTTTTTATATTTATAGCAACTCATTTGCAATCTATTTCTAATATGAATGGAAATAAAAAAATAAAAAAACATATATTTTAAAAACGGGAAACATTTAAATATCAAATTTTTCATAACTAATAAGTTTCTTACCTTTGGTACATTTTCCAAAATACATTCATCCAGGTGATCCATAAGTTGTTCTGAGGTAATCAATTCCAAGCCAGACTCAAGAGTTACCCGCCCTTGCAACAACAACACATTCATGATGGCAAGCAAAGGGCAAGGACCATTTTCATTTTGTGTGATGACAGGAACCTTTTTGGACTTAAAATGAATCCACTTGAGATGGTAGATACTTAGCACAGATGATGAGGAGGAAGAAGATGCACCATCCTTGGTAACTTTCAATGAAGCGGCACCAGTATCATTGTCAGCAGCTCCTAGAGAAGCAATATCAACACATTCCAGATCTCTATCAGACGGAATGCTCAGAGAATCTGATGGTGTCACATCTTGTGAATCACTATCACTCCGCTTAGAGGAGTGTTCATCTGTATCCCTGATGGTATCACCCAAGGACAAGGTAGCTGCTGTTCGGACAACAGCATCTTGTTCCGATTTTTTAGGCACTTCAGATCTGGCACTTGACAAATTGGTCAACTCTGAATGACCTTTTGACAGCATTGTAAGATCAGCAATGTCCTCCTGACCTTGAACACATGATTTATTTGCAGATTTAGGTTCTACAGTTTTGCTAGCACCTGCAAGATCTTTACTTGGAAATCTCTTTGAGGAATCATCTGTAGAACTCTGAAGAGTCTGTGTAGGAGTAGTTGATACAGTAGTAACTCTGCTCAAATCATCAACTTTTTCCAAAGGTTGTTTCAGAGGTGAAGAACTCATGCTGGTATTAGTTTGAGGAAAACCAGAGTTAACACTTGGGAGTCTACTGCCAGCATTTTCTAAGCTACTGTTTGTGGAAGGTTTCATGATATCAGTCAAATCTGAACTGAATTTATCAAGTTTAGATTCAGGTGAAGGAGGGGCAGGAGTTGGCTGCAATGTAGACTCAGGAGTTATGTCAATTTTTCCTGAAGGCTCATTGGGCAAGGTTTTTACATCGTCACTGTTCTGGTTAGGAGAATTGGTTTTATGCACTGGGTTCAAAGGATTGACTGCAGCAGATGCGGAGACAGAAGCAGCAGGTTTCACTGGTGATGATACTGTGTTCTTTTGTGAGGCTACTTGATTAAGGCTTCCATCATCACCGGTAACTGTAACTAAAATTTTTAAAAAATGTTAGTTTTTACAAAAATGGTAGTGAGAGTTCTGAGATGATAGTACAGAAGCAATGCACAAAATGGGAGCATCAAAAAATCAGTTTATAAGGCCTGAATAATAATGAAGAAAGTGCTCAAGTGCTTGTTCACAAGATGTATGCTAACATGACCCAATGATAACCACCAAATGCTGGTGTAAAAAGTGAAGTAGAAGATGAATAACAAAACAAATGAAGAGACCTAAAGGTTTGAAGAGATTAGTTGTTATTTGATTCTTGTGATAACTACAAGATACATCAGATATGAATAATTAGATAAAATACTGATCTCAAACCAAAAGATCAGTGTCAAAACAAATACAAATGCTTAAATGATATCAGTGTAATACAAGTAAAAGAAGAAGATTATAAATTTTTTAGTAATATTTCTTTCATCTTAATTTCTATTGTTTATTATTCCAACTCTCAGACTAATTGTACTGTGGTTTATAAATAGAGTAGAAATATATAAGCCTCCAACAAGATAAAAACTCATGCCTTTTCTTTGGGATAGTTAAGAATAATCTAATAATATATTTTTTTATTCAGGCATATAGAAATCTATATAGATCTTGTAATGAAAATTATTTATTTCTTTATATACTGAAAAAAGTCTATCGATGAGTAATACTATCCTGTTAATATTGTTTTTGTAACAAACATGTCTGTACAGACTGTTACTGCCTGTATTTTTACAGAAAAAAAAATAAGAACTTTAAAATTTGGATTAAATTTGCTAATATGTTGGCAGTTATATCTGAAATATTTATATTATCCTAAATACATACTAATAACAATAGAAAATATATCCAAGTGTAATGTCATGATGATCCTACTTTTTGACTGTGATAAGTAGCTATAAAATATATGGCTGTGTTACTTTACAATATGTGAAGTTACTTCATGAATTTCTCACATTTTTGTTGACTGACAAAACCTACATTATTTGTACTGTTTGGAAACTAATAACTCTCAAACTATCAAATCACTTTAAATTAAATTTTATTATTTGACCTAATAATGTGTTCATAAAAAACAATGAAGGGTTTCTCAAAATTCTAAAAGGAAATTGAATGTTGTCCTTAATATACTTTATTAATTAACCATGAATTCTTAAAATGATATCAAGAAGTTTATTGGTAGAAAATTATTTCTTTATATTTTTAATTTCTCATTTTGGAAAATCTGTGGCCATGGAAAAAAAATATGTAATTCATCAAGAGAGACAAAACAGATACAAGATTCATAACATTAAAATAAAAAAAATTAACCCCCCCCCCCACAAAAAAAAAAAAAAAAATCCAAATATATAAATCTTCAAATTATTAAATTTAATTTAATTAATTAAATGTATTAAATTTTCAAATGGGATGCTTTGCAGAAAATGTAGAAAAATATTAAAGATGAGAAGTGAAATTAAGAAATAATTTAGAGAGAACTGCAAGGTTAAATACATTTAATATGTAGGTACATGTAAATATCTGTAAATAATTCACTTTTTAAATATGAAAACCAAAAATTCAAAATGAAATGAAAAGTTAGATATTATCTATATTTATAATGGTAGCATGGAATGTGTTTCAGTTTAAATTTACTGACCTAATTTAAGCCATAGATCACAAGATTACAGTTATACAAGGGTGTCATCTCATTTCTGATGAAGTTAATCAAATTCTAGTAAAATATTGTTTGTTTTTTTTTAAAGAAATTTGGAAAAACTTAACTGATACATTTATTCAGATTTTCCATGCAGAATGCACATCAAAGAGTCTCCCTAAATATTGCTTAGTCCAAATATGAACACATTTTCCATACAATTATCATTTCCTTCTTTCAGTCATTCAAATTTATTTAGAAGATCCTTTGTATATTTTCTAATAAATATACTAAGAAAAAAAATAATCAAATGATATGTCATAGTACCCCATTAATAGGAAGACAGTGGCAATACATTCTAATATTAAGAGAGAGTGGAACAAAATATATCTTGTGATATACACTGAACAGTAATTTAAACAATAATAAAAGCTGTAAATACAATGCTACTTAAAACATTTAGTGTATGCACAGAAACATATGTGAATCCTTCATAAAGGAGGTCAATCAAAGTGAGTATGACGAAATAGCATTCGTTATGAAGTTTTACATTAAAATAATAAATACACACTTATGAATTTAGCAAAGATTATGTAACACTTGGAACTTTGCCCTTAGTTGACTGCTTTAAGTGTGAAACCAAAGCTATCGGTAACTTAACATTTTAAAATAAAAAGATATGCATAAACTTAGATATAATAAAAAATGTGCATTTTAAATAAATGCATTTATTTGAACATTTTAATATATTAGGAATAAAATTAATACTTATCATTTAAGAAAAATGGTTAAAATTTAAATTAACAAATATATATCAAGAAAAGACATGAACTTAATTTGTAGAAATCAAAGAGGCAAAAGGAATATTTTGCATTCTACTGGGAAGATTGAAAAACTGAAAAAAGTTTTTGAATTTTTATTACATATTTTTTTTTTACTCTTATTACAAGAATGTTGAATAAAGAGCAAGGAAACACTGAAAGTGTTTTGATTAGGGCAAAACTTGGTAATCTTGTTATAACCAAGAGAAAAAAAAAGATATAGTTGTTAGAGTTAAGACTAACACACCTGTAAATATTTATATGTCAAAAGGAATATCTGCAATTTCATGAAAAGAGAACAAGTATAAAGCAAACTTCATTGCCCTAACCTCTATTTTTTTTTTTTAAATAACATATTGTATATACAGTTTAACTGAGGAAGTTAACGAAAACAGGAATGTTGCCCACAAAATAAGACTGTCAGCGATTTGTATATACTCAGTACAGGGCCAAAGTCTTGGTCATTAAGCGAAGGAGGGTAGGAGAAACATCCAAACTGTTAGACACTAGTATGAGCCCTTAGTGTTCTAAAACTGCAACTAATTCCTATATTAGATATACAGTATTGAACATTAATTTCTTTATAAATACAAGACACACAGAATATGCACATCCTCTCACCATTATGAAATATTTACACATCCATTCAAAATTCCTTTTCTTATTTTTTTAAGCACATAACTTAAAATCAAACATTACTCATAGTGAAAATTATTTTTCTCTTTCAGCTTTGGCATATGCTTATTATCTGCACATAAAAAAATAAAAAAACAAAAACACGTGCACCCATTTGCCCACACTAACCAGCAACAAATTATAAACTTTTGCAAGCCAATTTAAATTTCAGTACATAACCTAATTTTAAGTGGAATTGAGGATATAGAGAAAATTTTTAATGTTTTTGAATTTTAAATTAGGTAAATACATATCAAGTAAAAGTAGCCCGATATGATGAAAGTGTTTTTAGACACGTAGAAAGCTGTATGATTTACAGTTTACCTTAAAGACTCATAATATAGTAAGCTGAGAAAACAACAGTAAAAACTTTGTTTCTGAAACTATATTTTTAGGTGGGATATTTGTCAACAAAATTAGGCAATGATTTTTATTAATACTTGTATCTTGTTAAAGCAGTTTTATTAATTATATAATAGACATCCAGATTTGAGATAAAATAGAAATTTGACAAACTTCAATTCTTTGTTGAGTAAAGTTAAGCGCAGACATACAAATAGGTTGATGTATTCTTTTAATGAAACAGTGCTACTATCAGAAAGACACAGCTGAAATTTCAGAGACATATTATTAGGAATGAAAGGTTTTAGAATTTAACACTCACAAAAAATATTGAAGGCAAAAGAGGAATTAATTTACTTGAGAAGTTTGAATAAATGGATAGCAGAACAAGTACCAAAGTCTAAGAGCAGTTACAAAAGAGCAAGATTTAGGAAGTTGTGGGGAGCCATAATCACCCATACCCTGAAAGAATATCTATATATATATATATATATATATATATATATATATATATATAAAAAAGAGAGAGAGAGAGAGAGAGAGACCAAACAAAGAGTACTTTTATTACATTTTGCATTCCTTTGCAGATAAAACAGGTGACCTACAGGTAAGTAAGTAGGGAGAGAAAAGTATAAACTGAAAGATCAAAGCTAAGAGCAACATTGAAAAAGCATGCAAATATAACAAATATTGTGAATTAAGTGGTTGCTGTAAGGCAACAAAAGAAAGAGATTGATGATGTAAAGGTAATTAAATACTAGATCAATATTTAATATTCTTTCACATTGTAAATTTCCTCATGGACATCAGAACAAGCTGCACAACCTAAACATTATTCTCTATGACAGGATGATTTCGTCAGTTATCAATGAAATAACATTTAATAATTTAGAATAAATAACAATCTGACAACAGATCAGTTTTACTGATAAACATTCATCATAAAAAAATACTTTCAAGTTTTTTTCCGAAAAGAACAAAAAAGAAGAAAAGAACACAAAAAAGAAGAAAAGAACACAAAAAAGAAGAAAAGAACACAAAAAAGAAGAAAAGAACACAAAAAAGAAGAAAAGAACACAAAAAAGAAGAAAAGAACACAAAAAAGAAGAAAAGAACACAAAAAAGAAGAAAAGAACACAAAAAAAGAAAAAAGAACACAAAAAAAGAAGAAAAGAACACAAAAAAAAGAAACAAAAAAGAACAAAAAAAAAGAAGAAAAAGAACACAAAAAGAAGAAAAGAACACAAAAAAAGAAAAAAAACAAAAAAAAAAGAAAAAAGAACACAAAAAAGAAGAAAAGAAACAAAAAGAAGAAAAGAACACAAAAAAAGAAAAGAAACAAAAAGAAGAAAAAAAACACAAAAAAGAAGAAAAGAACACAAAAAAAAGAAGAAACACAAAAAAGAAAAAAAAGAACACAAAAAAAGAAGAAAAGAACACAAAAAAAGAAGAAAAGAACACAAAAAGAAGAAAGAACAAGAAGAAAAGACAAAAAAGAAGAAAAGAACACAAAAAGAAGAAAAGAACACAAAAAGAAGAAAAGAACAAAAAAAGAACAACACAAAAAGAAGAAAAGAACACAAAAAAGAACACAAAAAGAAGAAAAGAACACAAAAAAGAAGAAAACAAAAATAGAAGAAAAAGAACACAAAAAAGAAGAAAAGAAAAAAAAAAAAAAAAGAAAAAAAAAAAAAAAAAAAAAAAGAAAAAAAAAAAAAAAAAAGAAAAAAGAAAGCTCCCCCCGTTTCTGGAAATACTAATTTTATACATATACAAATTATCAGCAGCAGTAATATTCTTATATATGCTGTGTCCCTTCAGGACGTGGGCAATTATGGCTCTCCACAATTTCCTGTCCTTTCTTGCTGTTAGTAAATTTTGTCTTTTCTCTATCACTCTTAATCCTTGACAACCATTTACACAAACTTGTTAAGCAGGTTATTCACTCCTTTAACTGTCAATGTCATATTTTCTAAGCCTTCTTTTATCATGTGCCCTAGAAATTTCAACTTCCTCTTTCAAAGTTGCAAAGTATTTGTCCTTTTTGTTTCCATTTTCTCTAAAACTGCTATTTCTCACATGTTCAATCTATGGTATTCTCAGCATCCTTTTGCAGAACCAGATTTCTGTTGCCTCAAGTCTCTTTTTTATCTGTGAGGAGACTATGCAGCATTCACTGCCATATAAGTGGATAGATATTATGTAACAGTTGAGTACTGTTTTCTTTGTTTTAAAGGAGATTTTCTGGTTTATTAATACTTTGCTTGGTTTTTAGAAGGCATCTTTCACTATCCCAATGCACCTTTGGATTTCAGTGTCACATTTTCTGTCCTCTGTTAAAACCCTTCCCAGATAGTTAAATTTTTGTACTTGTATGATTTTGGCATCTTCATTTGTAATCTGTATGTTGGGCTCTTTTTACTGACAACCATACAATATATCTTCTTACAATTGATGTTTAGTCCTTCTCTCTTTTCTTTACTACCTTGTGTAGGAGTTCCTATGGTTTCCCTTCTATGCCTGCTATCAACACTGTCATCTGCAGCTCTAATGTTGTTAAGATTGTGGCTGTCAATAATGAATCCTGGTAGGAATTCTAATTCTCTTACAATTACCTCACTGTAAGGTTGAATAAATCCCTTTCTATTTCTGTATGTTTATTGAATTTATTTTCTGTCTGTATGAGGGTGGTTTGCTGTGAGTATAAGTTCTGGATTATTCTAATATCCTTCCCAAATATATCAAGCTTATGTCACAGTTCCAATAGTTCTTTGTGATGTACTCTGTCAAAAATTTTTGCATAATCTATAAAATATAGGTATACATCTTTTTGCATTTGTATTGATCTTTCTGATAACATTCAGAGCATGAATATTGTTTTAATGTCTTTAACAAAACCACACTGTTCTTGTCCTATTTCTGGTCTAATTCTGCCATGCACTGTTCATTTAAATTCAGATAAGTTTTGTTATATGACTCAATAGGTCGATTGTCCAATAGAGTTCACATTTGTCTTCACCAGGTTTCTTAGGCAAGCACTATGAAAATGATCTACTTAGGTCTTCCAGTGAATATCCACATGAGATAATCAACTGATGTCTTACATGAAATTTTTAAGTTGCTTTCTTGCCAAAATAAGGAAAAAAATGATCCATATAAAATAAACAATTAACATACTTGTTAAAATATATATGGTTCATTATTTTCCCCTAGTTTGGTAAAAAGGCAATTTAAGAGTTTCATTTGAACTTCATATAAAACTTCAGTTAATTATCTCATATGGATAATTCTTTACTGTAAGTCTAGTTCACATTTCTTGTAGACAAGTACTGCTTTTTATCAATATAAATCAGAAATATGAAAAGATATAAGAAAAATGTTGAAAGATAAAGCTATCTAAGAACAGTATGCAAGGGGGGGAGAGAGTATAAAAGTACTTATATCAGACAGAATAATGAGAGAAAATGTGAGAAGGGGGGGAACATGTGGGTTAAGAGCAAAACGAAAACAAAAGTCGTCTGAAAAGCTTATCAGAATGAAAGTTTAGGGAGTGGGTGCAAAAATAAAGAAATTTAAAAAGTGTATTGCTGTAAAGAACAAAAAGAGTACATGAATGAAAACCAATAACAGAAACATGGAGTACAGTAAAAAATAATAGTGGAAAGAGGAAATGAACATAAAATATGCTCAAGGGAAACAGTAGAGAGAGAGAGTTTAGAAGTACGAATGAGTTGAGAGAGAAAGAAGGAGATCAAATAAGTGAAAATGGTGACTAGAATTTATTGCCCATTACTTTTGTTCACCTTATTCAATTTATTTACTTCACGTGAAAGAAAAAAAAAAAGGAAACATACTAAAATGGGTAGCTGTAAAAAATTACTAAGGTTTGCAAAAGGCATATATAATTGTCTTTGTGATATATGGTGCCATATGCAAGAAAAATAATTATAATTACTATAATTTACTATTTATCATCTATCCTGATTAACTTGGGCTCAGTGGTCAGAAATTGGTGGGTAAGAGTTCTAAGGTCTCATTTTCATGAATCATTTTAACAAAGCTAGAAAATAGAAAATTAACTTTGAATTTGAGCCAAGGACTTTCTATACAATAGTCACAGTGAGTTTTAAAATCTACATCAACAAGGTATAAATAACTACAATTAGTTTTGAAATTAATGAAAAGTGTAATACTAAGTGTAGTAATAAAATCTGACCCAATATTAATTCTCTTCAGGTGATGAAGTTCTGTGTTGTGGCCTGAGAGAGGGAAACACATTTTATGGTTGAACAAACAAATTATCAAAAATATATGATTAATGCTCCCCACCTACCTAACATTCCACAAAAGAAAGAAAATACTGGCAAACATTCAATTACTATACAAATATGAATCATTGTTTTTTTTTTTATTTGAAAAATATTTTATTCAAGAAATGAAATATCTCCAAAATTAGCAATCAATAAGATTATTTTTGTGAAATGAAAACTGAATGTTTAATCCCAAAAGTATCTATAATAAAATCATAAATAAATCTATAAAATGAATGAGAATTGCTCAGAACAAATGTTAAAGGCTGAGAATTCTAGTTGTGACACCCATCTGTAGCATAATACTTTTAGAAAAGAATCAGTTATCTACTGTATCCAACATGTAATTCACTAAAAATCCCACTATCTTTACATTTGCAGTAAAAGCAATAGACAGAAAGTGCAATAAATATTAACCTCTCAATGTTCATTAATTTATAAAGTTCCTTTTCTGCAGCTTTGTACTATTTTTCAAATTTGAATTATTGTAACTTTTTGTGAAAAACAGTTATTTTTCTGTTGTCTTCTCTACAGAGGACTTTCAACAGTAGCAACAATTTAAATGGACAAACACATGTAACCCGAGGAGAAAACAATGACGTAATCCAAATGTTGACATTCAACACTACTTCAGACAAAAGGTTAGGAAGGAATCCTCTTCATCAATATTGGAAAGAGCAATAACAGTTAATGGACTTGAGAAACCTATTTTCTTTTAATAGAAAGATTTTATTAAATTGAACTGACTGTTCAATGAATGCCAAATGCTTCTATATAAGGATATTGCTAATGGTTTTGAATATAAAGTTGTCCTTCTAGTATGGTTGCCATTCAAGATTATTTAACCCATGACTTGGGTGAGGTAAGAGGTATATTCACACTTTTTCCATGGGTATTAGTGTAAAATAAAAGCAACAGACTAGACTAGAATTTGAACTTGGCTCACTGAAATATATTTGGTGTTATGTTTGTGTTAACTGTTTGTAAAATGAAAATAAAGAAAAAGTGATTCTAGATTTCTGTAGAATGTGGGCACTTAAAATCTTTTGTCATATCCCCACATATGTAAATTAAATACTATCTAATAGTTTATAATGTTAATAATTTTCAAATAAGTTATGATTCAATAAATGCATAGTTCAAATCAATAACCTCTTATTAGGGCTAAAAGCTCCATTTAAACTTCTTGAGCTTAAAATCCCACTACAGGGCAGGTTTTCTATTTTATCAGTTTGTTTAATGTAAGAGGTATTCCTTAGCTACACTGAATAACCCACTAATACTCACAATAATCAAACATGTACAAAAATGCTACAGCAGTGTCTGCTAAGTACAGGCACAAATGAAAAATCTTGTGATCAAGAGTTCATTTTTCATGTTACTTTTTAAAACTAGTTTATAAAACAATAGCCAAAAGGTCTTTGTATTCCTATAAAAGAGGTTATATAAACATAAAGAGTAATTTAAATTTTCCAAGAGTTTAAAATTAGCTTTTGTTTTTATTAAACTCTAAGATAACTCTAAATGATAGAATATATAAAGTCTTAATAAGCAAGGTTACATCTTTCAAACTAAATTGCTAAAATTGCAGAAGGCAATATTATTATCACGCGTGTTTATAAATATATTTTAGTTGTTCTATTTATATTGGAAAAATTATTAAAAGGTTCAAACTTACTTTGAATTACCACAGGTAAATGAAGATTTTATTTGTTTTATCGACAGAAAATAATATGATGTCCCATAAGGGGTGATAAGGATTATATTGCAATTCTCACTAGCAGTATTTTCCAGTCAAAAAGCAATCATGATGAAGTTATATGCCAAAACATCAGGATATAGAAAACACTCCAAAGTGTTTTTTTTTTAATTTCTTACAATAAAGAGCATTCTGGAATAGTCACCAAGTAAGAATGTTACTTAAGTACTGAAATTAAAATCTAATTCAAGCCTGAATTGAGTCAGAAAATAAATTATCAAAGCCATTGACAAAAGAAAGAAAAAAATTAATGCAAGCTCAAAGGTTATTCTGAAGATTATGCATAAGCTGTACTGTTGTTCAAAATTATGAGACATTTTAAAAAGTTATCATGTAGTAATGGTTCTGGAAGGATTTTATTTTTTTAAACAGAGAAAACAGTTTCTAGCATTTAAATCACTTAGTGAGAAAAAATATTTAAGGGTAACTGAAATCATTGTCAGTTTATACTTATGTTAAATCAATCAGCAACTCACTCAAACAGCACATGCATCTCACTAAAACACTGTAAGAAATGACAGAAATTCTGATGTGCATGTTGAAAGTTTACAATAAAAAATAATATGAAAAAAGCAAAAGAAAGAAAATAAATTAAAGAAATATACTTGATTTTTGCTTAAGAAAATTTTTAATGTTTGAAATTTTTTTTTTTTTTTTATTCCATCTCCAAGTCCTAATTCTCAAGGATCCAGAGGGAAATTAACAGGAGATAACTGATAACTGACACCCATTAAACATGGCACATGGAACTAGAACAGTCTACCCCAGTGAGCGAAATGAAGAGTTAAGTTCGACATTCCAACCACCTGAAGAAGGCTGGAGCATACAATGGCCAAAACATTGTAATAAATATGGTGACAAAGACGAGAACAATAGTTCGAATAATGTAAATAATGTCCTAATTCTCATTATTTTTAACTATATTTAAGAAGTATGAAACAGATTATTAATTTAATATATAAATAACATAACTAATGGGAAAGTACACACGCACAAGATGCCTACATCAAGGATTAAACGAGTGAAGTTACAACAGTATCAATTTCAGTTAAAATTTCCAATGTAAGATGAAGACAAATACAAGTGAATTGATATAAAATTTATATTTCTGATGTAAGCAGACTAATCCATTGATACAATAAAACTACCAACCACTAGTGGCTTCCTTAAAGTACTTCAGTAATCTTCCATTTACATCTGAGTCAATCCATAATCTGGGTAATAGATTAAGTTTCAACTATTCAAATGTAGATAATTTTTCATATAAATTTATAGATATTCATACTTATTTTGACAAACAGGACATAGGATTATATAATATATTCTAAAATGAATAAAAATAAAAACCTGATCAACTTAGTCATCTTGAGGCACCAGTTGCACAGTCAAAAATGGATATTCTAACGGAGTTACTAGAATGGATTATATAAGTGAGTGAATCTGATGTCGGTATAGGAATCAACTTGAGAAGTTGATATGAAACGCCTCAATAGCAACACTAGGTAATTTAGATTTTACTAGCATACCAGAATTAGTTTTTTCATGTGGGCTTTTGGAGAAACAAAAAGCATTTAATTTAAATCTGTAAAGTGTATAAATTTATAATAAAATGAAGTAGTAACTGGAATTAAATTGGTTTGAAATTGTGAATTTACAGAGTTTTAACTAGTAGGATCAAGTGAAAGAAAGAGCACCCACCCTCACCACTGGAAAAATGACAATTGAGATAATCCAGCTGATTTGATCTTGGTTGAAATTCTAAATTGGAATTTTTTTTAAATTTTAAAAAAATCCCATTCATTCTTGTCTTGATTATATATTAGCTTAGGAATTAGGTAGATCACAACCAGTGTGACATGGTGAGGTCATCAAAACCCTTCTTTGTTACTATGCACATATTCAAACCAACTTGTAACCCAACACTTAAAAAGAACATATTTCTTATGTAAATAAGTTCCACCAGTTAGAGTAGATAATACAAGGCAGTTGAGCAGATTTGACAGAACATCAATACAGATAGAGATAGTCAGAGAGATGGAGAATGCAAGCAGATAACGAAATGTTGCAGAAGAGTTGACATCACCACACGTCTTTGACACTCACTCTACCACCTATAATAATAAAGGCATCTTCATAAGTTTTTGTTTGCAGACCAATGATCAAATGAAAGAATTGAAGATCAGATTTTGAAGAATAACTTTAGTCTTGGGTCTGTTTGAATTGTTGAACCAACTACCTGTGATCAGTCCTGTACATTGCTCTTACTGTTGCAATATGTTGTGAATATGACTGATAACTAACTCATAAATTGCACATAGTTTGATAGACAACACCACCACAGTATCAAAACTGGTTAATCGGATGAGCATTACCTACAAAAAAATTATACATTATTTCTAATGTTGCTTTCTTCTCAGATTGACTGGTGGAGTGAGATGCCCAGGCAGTGTCCTTAGTCCTTTATAAGACTTGAAAGGGTGTTTAGTTACACTTTCAAGATCAAATGTTCCTGCTCCTCCATTGCCTCAACAGTCAGTATTTTACATTTCCCAAATTTGATTAATATAAATTATACAAGCACAAATGACATGCATTAAATGTTTACAAGTACATGTTAGTTTACTGATTATGGAGCAATTGTTACTCAATGGTGTGTGAGTTTGTGTGATGATATGAGTTTCCAGGTAAATAAACAAGTAATTAAGTAATTAAAATTATCAAAATACTTTTAATTTATCTTTAAGATTGTTGACATTTTAAACATTCTTTATATGTTGTGTTAATAATTTTAGCATGCACTTAGAATTAATGACTGGCTTTATTTGCATGTGTAAACGTACTACTTCTTCAACAAAGGACAAAGTTTGTTCAACCACAGCACTGAAAAAGGTAAAAACCAGAACAAATTCAAAAATAATCATTGATTGAATCTGAATGAATTTAAAAAAAAATAAAATTCATCTTAACATTTCAACATGCTTACAAGTAGAAATGTTAAAAAAAGTAAATAATGTAAATAAAAAAAATAACTGAGAAGATTTAAATACAGTAAATATGAGCCATATTATGTTCATGATGTTCCTTAACTCTTGACATTTATTAATACGTTTGTGTACACACACACACACACATATATATATATATATATATATATATATATATTATGCACGCACACACTTTGGTGAAGATAGTAGAGGTGCACATGCTGGAAACCCAATCAAAAATCTAATTATGAATAACATCAATCTTGCAACAATGAATGTGTTTATTTCCAAAAAAGCAATCAAGAAGGAAACAGGAAA